TGTGTGTGTGTGTGTGTGTGTGTGTGTGTGTGTGTGTGTGTGTGTCAGTAGGAGCATCACGAGGTCCATGCATAATCACCTTATTATATCCTGTGAATGGAAAAGTGAATTGATCTGATTAGAGGCTGGATGAAAAGTGCAGAGTGTTAACATGCAGAGCAGCTCTCAGTGAACCATGATGAAAGAAGGAAGCTGCAGGACAAGAAAGGATGGACAAAAATGAGGATGGAGGCCAAAGTACGTCAAAAATGTTCAGCTGTTGGGGAAAAAAAAGAAACGATTAGTAGACTTTGAAAAAAAGTTTGTAAACAATCTCAAACTGTTTGTTGCGTAAATGCAGCATTCTTTTGTTTTTTTTTCCCCCGTATGTTTCTCATCATGCATCTCATTTCGCAATTTCTGTGCTGTTTCAACAATTTCTATTACAAAARGTTCAGCTCCTTCAGGACATTCCAGCTATAACTTCAGGTCTTTCAGCATTTTGACATATTTAGCCTTTTTTTTTTTACATTTTTTTCTTTTTTGAAAAACAGAACTGTCTTCGACCTCCTAAAAACCCTTTAAAATGTTCATAAATCTTTACTGTTTTATTCTGGTTCTGCCTTTTATTTACTTCTTTGTGTTAATTCCAGGTTCCATCACTTCTATTTTGTTGGTTTCAGCTTTTTTCTGCTTTTAACTGTTATTCTGAACCTTTCTGCTTTTTTCCTGTTAATTTAATCTTTTTTAAATATTTATCACCTACTTTCTGCTAATTTCGGCATTTTATATTGTAGCTACCTTTTAGCTAATTTCAGCTTTTTTTCAGCTACGTTTACCTTTTTGCAATAATGTCAGCTTCTTACTGCTTGATTGCTTAAAGGGGCAATATTATGTGTTTCTCAGGCATATATTTAAATACTCTACCATAATAACGGTACTATGTCACCTTCAGTTATTAAAATGCTGTTTATTTGTTTAAATAGAAAATAAACTTGACTTCTTATCGTTTCCGTTTCTAAACTCCTTGAAATTGGCCTCTGTCTCTTTAAGAACCACCTTCCCCTTCTGTCTCGCCCATTTGCTGCTATGATGCAGTTTACTTGGCATCTGAAAATACATTTCCTCAAAGATATTTTTAATCTGAAAAGAGCTTCACTGAGTGTGTTTCCATTGTAGCGGTTTCCTACTTCAATTTATGAATTCTGATGGACACAACTTGTTGTTATGACTGTTTGGGAAAAGAGTCAGATATATTTTTCAAACTTCTGTTAAGGCATGACCCTTTGTGCTTCAAATTAACATATCAACTGTAATCATGGCGCCTCAGAAGAACATGAAAGAAATTTGTATTGTCACCTTCTGGCCCAACCCCCAGAAGGACAATCTATTCACTCTCTTCAAAAGAAAGAGGGTGGGTGTTAACAATTGCTTTGCCAGAACCTTCCAGCATGACCGAGAACAAAGGACCCACATTCTTCATTAAAATGTGAAAAAAAAAAAGAGGAAAACCACTGTGTTCTTGTTCCCACTAAGAACTGTTCAAACTGTGTGTTTATTGATGAAATGTTTTCAAAAAAGATGTTTCTTTAAATTGTGTGGTTACATAAGTTAATCTTTAAACTTTAGGTTTGAATTTAACTAAATAGACATTCTTATTGTTACTGATGTAAAGCAGATGTCTTCCCCTTTAATTAGATGCAAGATAATTAGACTAAAACACTCCCGTCCTTTGTCTGAAAAACCTTGTTTTTCCCTCCAAACAATTTGGTTGGTTAAAAACTTTACCAAAGTTTTTCAATTGGCTAACTAAAAACCTTGACTCCGCCCACAACAGAGGTTTTAAAAGTTAGTACACGCAGAAGACACCAGAGAGAGAAGTCACAACAACAGAAGAAGGAAGCAGAACGCAGACAGCGAAGCAGCCAGGTTGAAAGACCCCCTCTTGCCAGAGGGGGGTGTCAGTCAACCCCTCCGCCATTTTGACTCGTATAGGTCGACCATCATTTCGACTCAGCCCTTGAGTTTTGATTTTTAAAGGAGTCAAATAAGCTAATGGTAAATCAACCGTCGTTAGTCCGTTTTTCTACAAAGTGAGAATCAAATTGAGTCTTGAAGCCACTTGTGGACCGCCAGACCAAGTCACCAGAGGAAGGACTCCTTTCTGACCCCGGGACCAGTCGAGTCAACCAGGCCGACCGCCTGACGTCTAGTTCGCAGGGAGAACCTGTCTGGAGAACCAAACTCCAGAGACGGCCCTCCACAGCTGACTTCAACCTCCTGGTACCCACACGGCAGGACACAAAGGAAAAAGGTGACCACTATGTTTTGGTGAAACACACACACAGGTGCTCAGGCCTAGATTTGATTTTTA